CACCAATAGAATTCCTATAATGCATATGTTATATATTTTCTTTTCTGATTAGTTTTGGCAAAAAACTTGGACAATAATTGTGTCGTCGTGTTCGCTTTTTTCCATCACTCCACACTAACGCATGTCAAAGCAATATAATCATCCCTTGAAGTGTTCTCAATTTATTGTCTCATGCGATCAACACTTATCTTTAAAGTGCACAAAGGGCTTTAAATTTCGACATTTTTTTCTAATTTTGCGGCGATAATCATTTTATCAACCGTCAATTTTCATAAGAAAACATATTCTTTTTTGTGAAATTTTGACGACGAAGCAAAGTAAAAGCCTATTGCATTGGCTGACTGACATCACTGTATCAGGACCGAATGTGCCCTTGATATATCTTGATATCAATATATTTTTCCATTTGGATATCGTTTTTAAAATTTACTTCTGTCTCCTATAGTCTCCGATTAATTTTTTACCCTATCACAAAGCACAGTATGATAGATAGTTTTTTTTCCACTTTAATATATATTGTTTTTGGCACTAATATTTGGAATAATCAATATCGATTTTTTTCAATTATTAGTAGTTATTTTAGTATAATATTTATTTAGGAACCATCATAACGGTTCATTACCTTTTGACGATATCACGTTTTTAGAACATAATACAAGAAGGACTTATGAAAATTCTATCGTATAGTTTTCTGTCCATTCACACAAAATTGTTTTTTTTTCTCTGTGTAAAATATTTGCAAAATCTAACAACTTTGCGCAGTCTGTGCCTTTAAAAATGCTTCGTGAACTATTTGTTGGCAAAATATAACAAATATTATATCGTTTTTAAATTAGACCTTTAACTTTATATTGTATAGAATTGAGAATGGAAACGGGGAATGTAACAAAGAGCCAACATTGTATTTTTATTCTTGCAGGTTTCAAAGACATTCGTTGTGTCTTGTTGACAAATTCTATTAGATCGATATCTTGCAACATGGCTGCATATTAGGAGTAATACATTCATGTGTGAACATGAAAAAAAAATTGTGTTTATTTATGTTTGGCAATGTCCATGCATCATAAACAATGATGCATTTTGCGTAATATATAAATAATTTCGGCTTGGCAGCAATATTACAAAATGCGCAGAATGCGAATTATATGCATGATAATCCAGTGGCGTCGCTGACGTCATCTCTTTTTTGTAAAACTTTTAATTTATATTTCGTCAGATAGAAGACTTGGATACTCCATATTTTGTTTACTTCAAATGCATAATGATTTGAAGTTACCGCCTGTCATACGTCCGTTGTCCATTGCGACTGCTTAACACCTTACCGGATAGCGCGAACGGACGCCGAACGAATAGCTTTTTTTCAATCCGTTCATGTCCGTTAGACGTCCGTTCTTATCCGTTAGACGTCCGTCCATATCCGTTTCATGTCCGTTTAGCGTCCGTTTTATCCGTCGACGTCCGTTCTGTCCGGTGGAAAATCTTGAGCAAATTCAAAACTTTGAACGGACGTCCAACGGATGAAGTGTCCGTTGAACGTCCGGTAGGCGTCCGTTTTTTACGGTACTCGTCCGTTCCGTTTCCGTTTTGTATTCGTTACTTGTCCGTTATACATCCGTTGGAGGTCCGGTAGACCAATTCACCAACGGACTTCTACCGGACGTATAATGGATAAAACGGATGATGAACGGATGATGAACGGATGTGAAACGGACATGAACGGAAGGATAACGGATAAAACGGATACGTACCGAATGTACTTTCGTATGGAATATATGGAATATCTGGTAAACTATTAGACTGTTTAAGGACTATATCAGCAACAGACAGCAAGTTGTTTTTATAAACAATGAAACTTCAAATCAAGGCGAAATCAAGGCAGGAGTTCCGCAGGGATCTATATTCGGTACTCTACTATTTCTTTTATATATTAATGACATTACAGATAATCTCCATAACCTAGCCCGTTTATTTGCAGACGACATCTCTCTCTCATATTCTGGTAGCAACTTTCAAACAATTGAAATTGATATTAATAAAGACCTTTTTAGTTTAAATGAAAGGGCCAAAAAATGGTTGGTAGATTTTAATCCAAAGAAAACCAAAGCATTGGTGATTGCAAATGTTAAACTACCAGTAATAAATATTTTATTTAATGGTGAAAACGTTGAAACTGTTAAATGTCACAAGCATTTAGGTGTCACACTTTCATCAGATGGAACTGGACCAGCCATATAGATAATATTACAAAGTCTGCATTAAAACAAGTAAATGTACTAAGGAAACTAAAATTTACACTTTCCAAAAAAGCTTATAACCAATATCTATGTCACTTTTATAAGACCACTACTGGAATATGGATGCCATGTATGGGATGGGTGTTTTGAATATGAATCTAATAAACTAGAAAAAATACAATTGGAAGCTGCAAGGATAGTAACAGGGCTTACACAATTTTTCATGTTTAGAATCCTTATATTTTGAAACGGGCTGTGAAACTTTAGCAGAAAGGCGTAGACAACGAAAATTAACAATTTTCTATCAAATGCATAATAAATTTTGTCCCCAATATTTAATCGACTGTCTACATCCAGTTACATCTGATGTCAGTGGATACAACCTAAAAAAATAATGATAATTATATACCCCCTAGATGTAGACTACGAATAACTGAAAAGTCATTTGTACCATCTACTATCAGAATATGGAATAATTTAAATCCAACAATAAGAAACGCACCAACTATCCCACAATTTAAACGAAAAATAAAGGGTGAACTATTTAGACCTCAAACATATTATGGCGAAAGGCCTAGAAAATTTAATATACTGCATACAAGACTAAGGCACCAGTGCAGTTCATTAAATACAGACTTGAATAAGATAAATGTAGTGAATGATTCTAAATGCTCCTGCGGTTCTTCTGTCAAAGATGCCATCCATTACTTTCTAGAAAGCCAATTATATTATAACAAAGAATATCTCTGATTAATGATCTTATAAATATGAACATACACATTGATATTGAAATGCTATTGTTTGGAAAAGATGCATATAATTACCAAACTATACTCTAATATTTTTGATAAAGTTCGTTATTTCATTAAACAGTCAAAAAGATTTTAACGTTCTAAGTCAGCAACTTTCTTTTTTCTTTTTGTCCTATTTGCTTTTTGTTGCCATGCCAATGTGTGACTCCTCCTTTATTTTCTATAACTGTCGCTATATTATGTATGTGTTTGCTGTCATCATATATGTGTATTGTATATGTAAGGAGAGGAATTAATATAAGTTGTAATAACTTGTGTCAAACCTTATTACTTGATTAATGCAATAAAATATTATTAAATTACCGAATGTAAAACGCGTATGTGATTTACATGTATTATTATGGTCAGGCGGCGTTATTGGCATTTTTCTCTGACATTTTATTCCTCTTCCTTTTCCACCCCTACCCTTTGGCGGTATTTTGAAGAATAAACTAAAACCAGTTACACGGAAACTTTTTAATTATTTTAAGGTCACGTGTATATGATTAACATGCATTATTATTGCCACCTTTAATTTTCCGCTTATTTTGTTCGTCCGTTTTATCCGGTACGCTTCCGTTAGGTGTCCGTTTTATGCGGTACTCGTCCGTTGGATGTACATTCGACATCCGTTCTGTCCGGTACGTTTCCGTTTCTCGTACGTTGCATAACCTGTGTGAGTCCGTTAGGCATTCGTTACGCGTCTGTTTTATTTGGTCGGTACACCAACAGACTCCCAACGGATAAAAATTTTGTCAACGGAAAACTTTCTTTTCATCCGTTCGGCGTCCGTTCAAGCTATCCGGTAAGGTGTGACCATATCATATATCAAAGAACTGCTTATTTTTCAAAGTTCAAAGGATAAAGTTATGTTTTGTAATAAGATTCGTTTCATAGATTCTAAAAGCAACATGCCCAACTATGTTTGAAATATAGATTGATTTTATGGTACACATGTCGGTCACTCAGGGTTCACTTGGCACTGATTTCATTTGACGAATCAGTAATCAACGTTTAGGTTTTCTGATGAAGATACTCAATGCTATGTGATGTATGGATAAATTGTAAGGAGAACATGTTTATCTGGCTAGGTTCATTTAACCTTTACATTATTTTCATGATTCATTGATCATATTAAGCTTATGTGAAACCTTTAATAGAACTTTTCACATTAAATTCAATCATGATTACATTGTAGTAAAGCAGCGTGTGCACTTGATTAAAATTTCTGTTGCATTACGGAAGACCCTACCTGCAAAAAAAGATGTATGCTATCTAAATCTGTTATTAACCCACAATCAAACTTTTAGGCCGGAAATTTGCCTATTCATTAGACTAAATTTGGCTTTGAATAAGCCTCTAAAACTGTAAGCACTCTTAGATCGGTATTTGTTTCTTTTGTTAGTTTGTTTACTTAGTTTTTTGTGTTAGTACCGATCTGATCTGATCTTTCCCTTTTCATGATTTTTCCAACGACTTGTGTTTTATTATACATCTGTTCCATGTTAGGGGATCGATGGAGCGCATAAAAAAAAAAATGTTTAACCCCGCCATATATGCGCCTGTTCCAATCCAGAAACCTTTTATCTATTGATTGTCACTGGTCCAATTCATATTAGTTTACTTAATGATGTTGGTTTTGCTCATTGTTGAAGGTCGTGTTGTGGCATGTAAATGTTCAATTTCAATTTCGTGAATAGTTTCTTCAATACCATATCTCATTTCTTTCATATTTATGAAATGTTTTGAACCGTTCTTGGATCATATCATTTGTATGTACCATACAAAACTTCATACATGCATTTGAAAATTTTGAAAATATCAAATGACAAGAAATTTTAAAGTTCATGCAAAAAAAATATATCGTTTCTATTTCATATTGTGATTGAGTCTATAAAATGAACTCACCCTCGACATCATTTTCATTTACGAAATGAAAAAAATACCAATCAAGAGAAAACATAAAAGGTTAAACTACAACATTTATTTTAAATAACTTGAAGATCTGAGTAGTGATATATACTATTAAGAGACATTTTATATATTTCATAATTGATCACAACATTACAATCATGAATAAGTTGACATCCATATCAGTATATTTTTCCTAATTGAAAATGTAAGTTAAGTCGTATATATAGGTTTGTATATCCTCAAGCATCTGTGAATATTTCAACTTGTGTCTCAAATTTTCCCCCCGATTCACGATCAACTGCTGCAACGCTCATTTCCGTGTTCCCAAATATAAAGTCAACGTCAAATATACGTTTCTCCTTTGTCGGATTTGGGATATCAACCAACAATTTGCCGAGAAGAAGACACCCTTCTTCGTCAACATAGCGTGGATATGGGTTACGTGTAACATATATGTCTATTGTCAAACGTTCCTGGAATTCTTTGATCGTTCGGTATTCACGCGTAACTTTCGTATCAGCTGATACCTCCGTCTCCTGCTCTATTATTGTTTTAAAAACGCTTTTGCTGTACATTATGTCATTATATTCAAACATGTGTTCCAAATCATGTTTTGAATCATCATAACGAACAGCTACATCGACACCGTAAGTGTGCCCAATAATTCGTATTGCGATATAAGAGGGATCAAATCCATAGATAACAGCACCTTTCAATACCGATAAACCACAGTCAAATGGAACAATCACTCTTTTCGTCGGAAATTTATCTCGAACATGTTGCTGAAGCATTGTGCATTCAGCAAAGCCGCCAACCAACAGTATATTGTCGACCTCAGCAACTCGTTTGTTCTTCATTATGTGTTCGAGTAGGCTAATGAGTTTTTTTATTGTTGGCATAAAAAACTCAACAAATATTTCAGATTTAATTCTTAACTTATCTGTTCTAACAGAAACCTTTTCTGTGTGTGGATAAAAGTATTACCTCTTCGATGCTTTTGTTATGGATCTGTGAACACAGTTTCGATAGGGCAGCCATTGGCAATGACATTCGGATTGTGTCGGTCTCATCACAGTTAACGGTTCTCTTTTTACATTCAAACTCTCTCATCAAGTCGAGATAAGATTCGGGATATTCTTTTTTCATGGTCTCTAAAACCGATTTTCCAAAAATTGTATCCATGAATTGAAGAAATGCAGCATCAACAGATGTCCCACCACAGTTGCTCCCTGTAGATCGATGTATCTCTTTAAGTTTGTTACCTTCAATCTTTTCATGCACAGCAATGTCAGCAGTACCACCTGAAACATTAGGTTAATTAGATGTCATTTTGTATTTATCTACGTGGAGGTAGTTAAGCACTATGGTTAAATATTTGCCAAGTAATTTTGGCAAATAATCATTAGCTTTCAGTATTACTGATGAAGGTCACACACTAACAGCAATTCGAACGCACCAAATGTGTACAATCTACCTTTCGCTTATCGTAATTAATGCGGGAAATATATTTCTAGATGTTTTTTCATGGGACATTTTCCGTTGATCTCACGATTATGAAAAGATAATACTCCACATTTCATTCAAACATAATGTATTTGTAAATACATTTTTTTTTGTAACTCGATCTCTCAACCTCATCATTCTGGAATATCGCAAGAATTAAAAAAAGTGCTCTGAAAGTAAATGGGAAAACAATGATGTGTGTGTTTACGTATTAACACTGACACCGACACTAATTATACTGCACCAGATGCGCATTTCAACAGTTAATGTCTATTCAGATTTGATGCGGCCAACATATCAAAACCTAAGACAAACACTGAAGAGCTAATAAACCATAAAAGGACCAACAGTTTAGCCAAACACATACAAGAAATCAGAGCTATACAAGAGAAATAAAAAGTTATTAGTTTACTATTTTTAATGATCATTTTCACCTATTCCTTTTCGGTACTGCTAGTTGATTTAACTCTTCATGTTTCTGATACTTAAAAATTCGTGGTTTTAAAATTTTTGGATCTTGGCGTTCATGATGAAGGTAATTCCAGGAAAGAGCTTTGGACGCAACTAATCAATTAAGTGTAATTTTCTTCCACTTAATGCCGTGGTGGCAGATAGATTAACACAATGACTTTTTCAAATTATAAAAGAAACCTCCTAGGTCGACGACTATATATTTTTGTCCTGTTTCTTTCATCGAGTATTCATCTCTTGCACCGTACAAATGATCTTTACTCAGATGTTGACAATATACAGACGCACATTCTGGTTCTTGTTTCTGATACTTAAAAATTCGTGGTTTTAAAATTTTTGGATCTTGGCTTTCATGATGAAGGTAATTCCAGGAAAGAGCTTTGGACGCAACTAATCAATTAAGTGTAATTTTCTTCCACTTAATGCCGTGGTGGCAGATAGATCAACACAATGACTTTTTCAAATTATAAAAGAAACCTCCAAGGTCGACGACTATATATTTTTGTCCTGTTTCTTTCATCGAGTATTCATCTCTTGCACCGTACAGATGATCTTTACTCAGATGTTGACAATATACAGACGCACATTCTGGTTCTCGTTTCTGATACTTAAAAATTCGTGGTTTTAAAGTTTTTGGATCTTGGCGTTCATGATGAAGGTAATTCCAGGAAAGAGCTTTGGACGCAACTAATCAATTAAGTGTAATTTTCTTCCACTTAATGCCGTGGTGGCAGATAGATTAACACAATGACTTTTTCAAATTATAAAAGAAACCTCCAAGGTCGACGACTATATATTTTTGTCCTGTTTCTTTCATCGAGTATTCATCTCTTGCACCGTAAAAATGATCTTTACTCAGATGTTAACAATATACAGACGCACATTCTGGTTCTCGTTTCTGATACTTAAAAATTCGTGGTTTTAAAGATTTTGGATCTTGGCGTTCATGATGAAGGTAATTCCAGGAAAGAGCTTTGGACGCAACTAATCAATTAAGTGTAATTTTCTTCCACTTAATGCCGTGGTGGCAGATAGATTAACACAATGACTTTTTCAAATTATAAAAGAAACCTCCAAGGTCGACGACTATATATTTTTGTCCTGTTGCTTTCATCGAGTATTCATCTCTTGCACCGTACAAATGATCTTTACTCAGATGTTGACAATATACAGACGCACATTCTGGTTCTCGTTTCTGATACTTAAAAATTCGTGGTTTTAAAGTTTTTGGATCTTGGCGTTCATGATGAAGGTAATTCCAGGAAAGAGCTTTGGACGCAACTAATCAATTAAGTGTAATTTTCTTCCACTTAATGCCGTGGTGGCAGATAGATTAACACAATGACTTTTTCAAATTATAAAAGAAACCTCCAAGGTCGACGACTATATATTTTTGTCCTGTTTCTTTCATCGAGTATTCATCTCTTGCACCGTACAAATGATCTTTACTCAGATGTTGACAATATACAGACGCACATTCTGGTTCTAGCGCTATCGAGAGATTGCTGTTTGGTATGCCAGCCTGCAAATGTAAAGTAGGTACTTTTTAAGCTTTTCATCGACACATTCACATAACCTTAACTTCCTTCCCTTTAACATGTTTAATAGGTTTACATAAAATATGCAGTATACACATATTTCTAAAAGCCAAGACAGTAAGCGTTAGGACATGATCCCCTTGTAGGATCCTCAATATTGATCACGCCGGTTGTAAAATGAACCCCATATGTTACCGTAAATCAATGAGAGGGAACTTGAGATCAACGAATCGTTGGATGAACCTGTCTAAGCTGTTTTTAACCGGATAATAAAGAGACAAAATGTTTAAATTTCCTGTTACTTAACCTATTTTTATTATGAATTGTATTTTTTCCTGTCCTTGGCAAACATTTTTTTTTAATCTTATTTAATAATCTACAGGAACAAGAAAGTCTATATCGTTACCTTTCCTTTAACTTTCAATGAAAGCAAAGTATTGTTTTCACTTTCCTTCTGAAAGTAAAAACTGTTTTTTCTTCTTCGGAAAATTAAGAATCAAACAATTTATTTTCAAAAAAAATATTAACGACATCCCTCCCCCCCCCCCCCCTAAACAAGAAGTGTTAAACTCCAATAAATCACAGTGCTCATTCTAATAGTGGCGTGATCGTGATGAATCTACGAAATTACCGTCAATTATTATTGAGTGAATTATTTTTTTCTGATTTCCAGGTAGTGTTAAATATGTCCAAGTTGTATGCAAAAGCTTGAAAGAAAACAAAAACTTTGCTCATTAACTGTGCCAGTCTCCTTTCCTTGATTTTTACATGTATAATTTAGTAAAAAGTCCACCCTACAGATATCGACTTACCTTTACTGCACTCCTCCTCATAAACTGCTTGGACTTTTCACTCCATATAGCAGGAACGGTTAAAGTCCATTTTATGTCGTCAATTTTTAATGTTGCCATGTTCCCTTTATGTTGAAACATTGTCATCAGATGATCAACTAGTGCTTTTATCGACATAGCAAATACTTCAAAAGCAGGAAGCTGTTTTCCGTTCATCTCGACAGCCATCATTTCTTTGCTTTGAAACTTAAAGGAATGAAAGGAAAACAATAACTGAGAGGAAAGAAAATTCTAACATAAATCGAATAATTTTGTTTTGGTAACACTTGTGTTTATTAGGTGCTTTCGATGGAAGTGTCCAAATAAAAGGGTTTCGTTGATTGATTCGACCCGCAAGAAAACAGTATTATAGAGGTTATAAATAATGGTTTACATTTACTTTTCATATGTTTAACTATGCTATGAGATCAAACAGAACAAAGAAAATCGACCTTATTATTTTGTACTTGCTGAACTGTCCATTTATGTTTTACTATCTTTTCATATTGATTATTACAGCGGGTGACGGGCCAGTCTAATTGTAATTTAGAATAGGGACATTTAGCTGGATTTTCCCTGTAAGTTATATTTAAGATAAATCATGGATTAAATAGTAAACATAATTACAGTCTTGGATATAATTTTCAGTTCTGTTATTACTTACTGTTGGTAATAAATTTTTTACTAATAAAAAAAAATATTCGTCTATGATAATGCTCAAGTAGTTGGGAAATATACATATATGGTGTAGTATCATTTTATAAATTGTGGTACGCACTAAATTTAACAATAGTTCGTAAGGCTAAAAGACTAAAACAAAAATAAAAACAGTTTAAAAAATAAACAATACTAAAAAAGTAATGCTTAAAACTATAAACGATATCCGAAAATATTTTGTGTGAAACTATATAGATAAAATAAAAAACAAAACAAAAATAAAATAAAATAAAATAAAATAAAATAAAATAAAATAAAATAAAAACAGAAAGTTGCGTAAAAATAAAATATAAAAAAATGAATAAATACATATACAGATAAATCGACCCATTAATAAAATAAGCAAATACTTAATTAACTTAATTTGATCAACGAAATACATTAAATAAATAGCTATATAGATATATAGAACTGTCCAATAAATAAAGGCAATAGTAGTAAACCGCTGTTCTAGAAATAGAACTCTCATGATCAGTTCTAAAGTAGAACGGTCAGAATCAGTTCTTAGGTAAAACTGTCAGAATCAGTTTCAGGATAGAACTGTAAGAAACAGTTTTAGGGTAGAACTGTAAGAATCAGTTTTAGGGTAGAACTGTACTTCCTTAGAACAATTCTGGATAGTTCTACCATAGACCAATTTTGGACAATTCTAACCAAGAACAATTTTGGAACCTCTTTTAAATGATAATATATTGTCGTAACTAAAATCCCGTTCCTTTTTCCCCGAATTTGACAAACTGAATTAGATTTATCATCCGGTTTGTACTAACATGAGCAAAACGACGGGTTCTACATGTGAAGCATGATCTGCCAACCCTTCCGGAGCACCTGAGATCACACCTAGTTTTTGGTGAAGTTCGTGTTGCTCAGTCTTTAGTTTTCTCTCTGGTGTTTTGTGTACTGTTGTTTGTCTGTAAGTCTTTTTTCTTTTTTTTTAGCCATGGCGTTGTCAGTTTGTTTTCGACTTTTGTTTTCGAGTTTGGATGTCCCTTTGTTGTCTTTCGCCTCTCTTCTAGGGTAGAACTATCAGGAGCTGTAATATGTTAGAACTATCCTTAGTGTTCGAGGTTAGAATTGTTCAAAATTGTTCTAGGTTAGAACTGTCCAAAATTGTTCTAGGTTAGAACTATCCAGAACTGTTCTACGGAAGAACTGTTTTTGTTAGGAACTGTTCTAAAGGTGTCAGGAGAACTGTTTTCCAGACTGTTTCCTAGCAGTTCCTTGCACATTTTAAGAGAGGTTAAATAAAATCCAAACTATTAATAAATTATTTCGATGACCCCATTTAAAGAATTTTAAATCATCAAGACACAACATTTTTTATACCAATTACATATATTTTTTAAACAAAATTCCAGATCTGGAGCGTCACAGATTTCGAAAAGAAGCATTCTAAAGTAAAATAATCACTTGTTCGCATTTTATTTAGTATTTACATTCTATACATATATTGGCCTGGTCCACAAATATTTAAGTTATTGTCTCTCTGGGGGTATTTACGATACATTTGCCATCTGTCTATATGCGAATGCAGTTCAACAATGCAATGCACACCAAAATTCATATAAAAGTGCATTTAGGTTGGTAGGCCTTGGTAGCTTACAATTTTTCGATTAATTTTTCTTATATTTACACCATTGAAAGTGTATAGGGGTCCATGCATCATCTGTCATTATATTGTAATTATATAATTGTTAATGTATAATTGTTATCCTCTTGTAGGACCATACGTGTGCCTAAGTTGTAATAAATTGTCTTGTCTTGTCTTGTCTTGTCCTGTCAAAAGCTATTGAAATTCACTGTTGCATTTGATGTTTAGGGTATATTCAATATGACAAGTTTTTGGGGTACCTTTTAAAACGTTCTAAAACACTAGAAGGTAAACAAATATATTGTTATGTGTGCTTTGCACATGTTCCCAATGGGAACAAACAATTCTGTTAAAATGCGTAGAAGAAACATATTTTAAAAGTAAATCGGAAATGGCATGTTATTATTTATATCAAGAATGTAAATAAATGGTTAAACATTATTGAACAAGTAAAACATTCTGGCACTCTCAGATAACACATTAATTTTTTTAAACTTTGCCAGAAAAAAGCTAACGTTTAATTCTTGCAAAAGATTGCTGAAAACAATAATTGTTTATGAATTTTGAAAATCACAAACGTTTATTGAATTTGACCGTTTGAAATCTACAAAATTTATAAACATCTTGGCTTACAAATACAAGAAAAAAGAACAGTTTTGGACAAAATCATATTTTCCCCCTATAAAACCTTCTACAGTCTCTCTTTCCATTATTTTTGTGTGCTTAATTGAAAAGTGTATGGTCTAAATAATAACTGTGATTAGGCGAATAAGGAAATTTAGTAATATTTAGTATGGAACGATTACCCAGGGTCGATTGACATATCAACATTCAAAATACGTAATGTTGGTTTCCTTCCCCACGACGACAAAATCCCATTGTCATCGAGTCAACAGACGACGCTAAATTTAATGTATCCTAAAAATAAACAGACAGTCTGTTCCTATCTTTGTGCTGATGTTGGTTATCTGTTAGCATAAATTATACTAGAATGGTTGCTCAGATCATATCTTCTAGGATATTGTCGTTTGTATTTGAAAAACCAAAGACATATATATAGTTAAATAAAGCTTATCGCTTATATAATTAGCACCGAAACATTACAACATCATATTCAATCTATTTTGCTCCAGTTAAAGTTTTCCCAAACATTCCAAAATTTTATCTAAATGATGTGAAGAGTCATTCCAAAAACTCCTCAGTAAATAGTATACATAGTACATAAGATTTATTTCCCAACACTCCTCAGTACATATTATTCATAGTACATAAGATTCATTCCCAAAATTCCTCAGTACATAGTAAAGAAACATTGCATGGATGCATGTGAGTTTTTCTACTTATACAGCTTTTGATTTTTGACCCTTTGAAAACAATCCAATTCTCTGATTTAATAATGCTTGGTGGAGTCGAAAATTTCTAATTTTCTAAAAAAATGATGCTGCATCACTCTCGTAACCAACTGTAAACAACATACTAAATACCTGGTCACTGTCTCAATAACCATGATAACCGCTAGGTTAACACGCCTTGACTTCCAATATATGTTTAAGAGTTGTCTCCAATACCCCAGGTCTAGCCCCTTTATTGGTCAAAAAGAATTTTGTTACGATTTTCAAGTGATGTTTATCCATAAAATAAACAATTTTCTACGGTAAAACTACTATTGCAAAAAAGCGTCATGAAATATGGCAAATTGTACATGTTTTTGTAACATTTCTCATGAAAGGATAACCTTAACCGTACTGAATAAATTTGTTATACACAATTTACTTCAAACAGAGGCTTTTGTGTTTGTTTAATAATGTCCTTCTTGTTCATTATGATTAATACTCTATGTTTAAGCAAATCTTTCAAAATTTCAGTAGAGTGACATTTTTCGGACTTAGAAACATATACATGTAACCACCATTATAATTTTAATATGAAAATAAACACATGATGAAGGTGTGAAACTAATTATTACAGGTTAGTAAAGATTGAAAAAACTTATGAAAATGACTCTAGTGTAAAATTAATTCAGAGGCAATTGATCCAATCTCTTTGAAAGCTACAAAAAACAATAATGTCCTTCAAACGGAAATAATGACTAGTAACGAGCTGATTAAAGTTTAAGCACTTACCGAGAAATCAGTACTTCCACGATGAGCAAATGAAAATGTTTCATTGATAAACACAGTCCTTAACATTCTGTCAATCGCTTCAATTTGAAATCCCTGAAAAGAGGATTGAAGTCTACTTTTAGGGTGAACTACAATGCGAATACAAAAGACTAAAATATGGATCTTATATGGACTAGCCTGTTTTATTTCTTGAAATATATGCATAAAATCCTACTTGTTTCGTTCTTTCCTAGGGTTTTATCATTTTCTCATCAGTTTTAGAAAAATAAGACTGATTAGTCGCAGACTTGGTAGAAGGAAATTTTACAAAATGACAATAACTGTTTACATGTATATATCTATATCTAGTGCCGCCGCGCTTTTATGAATTCATCTCTATCAGAAATGCGCTCAAACTATAAATTTGAAATTGAATATACAAGAATGAATGAATATAAGACTTTTTACGTAAAAACAGACAAAAAATCTAAATTATACTTTCCAAGGTTTGTGAAAATATCGTGTTACTGCACAAGTAGCGTAGTTTTTGTTTCAGTTTTAGTATCTGACGACTAATCATTGTAGGTGGTTCGCTGTATAGAAATTACCTCATGTAAATTCATCTTAAACCTTTGAAAGAAGTAGTAATCTGAATGTTTCCCTTCTTGCGACAAATCAGCGTACTTATTTTCGGCATCATATCCAAAATCAACCAACTTTCTATCAGCATCTAGCAGCAAACAAGTGGGAGTTTTCTCAGAGAAAAAACCTTTGCCACCTGAGTTCCATGGTTGATTTGTGTAGATTTTAGGCTCCACATCTTTTCCTTCCAGGTAATTTTTGTAATCATTTTTTGATGACCATGCATAACCAGAATATGATGTACCAAAGTCTATAGCAGCCACAAATAGATAATTGTTTTGCGGAGATGTCTGCTCATTGTTTTCATAACCTTCAACGGTGACTCCTGGTGTAGATTCCATTCCTTATATGAACTGTTAACCTTAAAATAAATAAAGTTCGGTAATGTCCATATTTGTCCCCAAATATTAAGTCCTTTGTTTCAAGAAAAAAAGTTAGAAAGTGAAAAAGAACTATTTTTTTCACAGGTTTTTCTCATAGATAGTTAAAAATTTACAATTAAAATATGCCATAATTAGAGATTATGGTGAAATTTGACAAAAGTGTCTAGATTTCAACCAAATTTAGGTCAAAGAAACATAGAGCGCAGGCTTCGGCACACTAAATATCGAAGTCAGCTATGAAAAAACTTTTTAGTCGACGAATGCGCGCTATGTTTCCAGTCTAAAAATACAATTTTAACTAGCTTTCAGTAACTGCGAGTACTCTCAAATCGTACTTTCGTGTTAATTTGACCAGTTGACACCATTTGTAATGCATTTCTGTAAATAAATGTTTACTTATTTAGTGTTATATCACGTCTCACTATTTTCAATATGTACCACCTTTGATAAATATTTAGTATGACGATAAATTTTCACTTCTGTTCTCGTACTCTGAACAACAAATTTATTAATTTTGTAAAAAAATGTTTACTTCCGTTCTCCTAACAAAAAAATTACTATATTTAAATTTACCTGTGTACGTTGTTTGATTTAACGCGATTTTGTCCCAGGTAAGAGTTGTCTTATTGACACTCTTGCTACAAATTTTTTATTACTACCTGTAACGTCTATGTTATATAGGCATTTACGTTTTAATATTGTATTTATATTGTGTCATAGATCAAACTTATTCGTTCAGTGTATGTTTACTAGTTTTTGTTCAAATGTCTTTTTGATCGAGTTAAGCCATTTCAATTTATATTTTATGTTGTAATGTTACACTACTGTTTCAGGTTAGGCTGAAGGTTTGCGCCTGTTAAAACGTTTAAATCTGCTGTATATTTATGCACCTGTCCTAAGTCAGGAGCCTGTTGTTCAGTGGTTGTCGTTTGTTGGTGTGGTTCATAGGTGTTTCTCGTTTCTCGTTTTTTATATAGATTAGACTGTTGGTTTTCCAGTTTGAATTAATTTACACTAGTCATTTTGGGGCCTTTTATAGCTTGCTGTTCGGTGTGAGCTAAGGCTCCGTGTTGAAGGCCGTACTTGGGCCTCTAATTGTTAACTTTTTATTCATTGTGACTTGGATAGAGAGTTGTCTCATTGGCACTCATACCACATCTTCTTATTTATAATGGAAACTTATCTGTTCCCTTGAATTATCGTGGAAATTTTATAAATGTTTGCTATTTGCGATATCATGAAAAGAACGCTAATATGTAAATTTGTAGCATATAGACATATTTCCTATCTTGTCATTGTTTTAGCTATAACTCATTGTAGTAATTATCTATAAATCCTAATTTAAGATTTTACCTGCAAATAGGGGCCATTTTATGGCCGAATCGAACCTTCTCCTTAGGAAGGACCAAGCAAGATAGAGCAAGTTTATAATCAACATCAAATAAGATCATCGTTTCAAAAGTTCAACGACCGCCATCATAACACAATATTAGAGATACCAGCTTAATTACATTTAGTACGCCATACCTTTTTTGGCAGAAAAAAAAATCTCAGGGGGAAATACAAACTTTTTCATGGAAGAAGTATTTAATAGTTATGCAGATGTATCATTCAATCCTTAGCCAGTCAAACAACAACAGTATTTTGTGCATATGTTTCATTTAACCCATAGCCACAGAGGACGGCAACAGGTTTATACACATGTTACATTATTTTTTTTTATTTTAAGATTATATTCAAAATCAGAATGAAGAGAAAAAATTACTGTGTGTCGTTTTGATTTTTCGTAGATTGTTACACATTAGGCAGGTATTTTGAATTGTTTTACATTTTTCGCATTGGAGTCTATTATAGCTGACTATACGGTATGGGTTTTTTTATTGTTGAAGGCCGTATGGTGACCTATAACTGCTTTTATCCACGTCATTTGAACTATGTGAATAGTAATCTAAGTGGCAAACAGTTTATCAAAATATTTTTGAATATGAAAGAAACTAGAGAGACCTGTCAAAAGAAATCAACATCAGCGAATTGGTGATCACCACTATGAAAACCAGACACATTGTTACAACAGAAAAAAAACCTTCAAAGTTTCTTTGTCATTGGAAGCAGGACAGATATATTTCATGTTTTTGTGCTTGTATGCACTAAGCATGTCCTATTTGTCTTAAGTACTATACAACACGTTCTGGCTTTGTTGAGATACTTCAGATACATAAAGTAGAATTGTTTATGTAATGGCGCATGAAAAGAATGTGACTTTTATGTAAAAATAAGCAAAAGACCATATTGACACTTTTCCTCAGTCAAACTGTTACATCAACGAATACAACAAATATTTCCGTTAAATACATTGTATGGTACAAGTGTATATTCTGTCAGTTTTTTATATCATTTTTTCTATAACTATTTCAGCTGCATTCATGAGCTAAAGGATTAAGGGAATATTCCACTATATAAATCAAGTCTCTTTAACAGTTGAAAAACAGTACTATTTCGAAGTAAAGATTTTGTAATTTTTTTAAATCTTATAATCTTTTAATCTCTAAGAGGTTCTATTTTTATTTATTTTAATACTGTAAGTGTAAAAATATACGTTCAGATCTGTTATCTGTTCAAGCACTAAGGGACTATTCTTTTACTCCTTGTGTAGTGTTTTTCATATCATTGTCAGTTTGCTTGTTTTGACAGCAAATGGAGAACACCTGATCTCTTTCTGGTAAGATAATGAAGAATTCTATTTGGTTAAATTTGTGACACAGGTATTGATTTACTTGACAATATATATCAGTCTGTAAAAATCTTTATGCATTTGTATAATTGTTTCGTATCTGGTACGACATGCACTGTGAAATATTTGTTAGAGTGCCTCCTTTATGTTCTCGTAATCATGGTCAAGAAGATTTATACTTTGCAGTGTTTGTATATTAATCCTCAGTAATAGTAAATGTTTATGTCACTATGTGTTATGTATTCTTTTCATTATATCACTTAAAACCTGTATGTTATAATGTTCATAAAATAGATACAAAAATTCTTTACAGGGTTATTCGAGATATTGTTACGCGCCTACGAGGTCAGACTCACGATAAACCTAATACACATAAGATTAGATATATCATGAAATAAACATGTCTGTACGACGTATCAATGAAACAACTTATATATATATATATAATTTATGACATCGAGTGTACAATAGGTGTATAATAAGTGCGGAATCTTATTAGGGACAAAGTGAAACTAAAATAACCATAGACATTTTTCAAAGTTAAGCAAAACATTTGACACTAAAAGACTTCATCTCGAAATTAAAAAGTCGAAATGTCGATGTTTATGATGTACAAAATCGTTATTTTGAGTTAATATAGTCGAAATTTCGAGATATAGAAAGTAGTCATTTTGAGTTTAAAAAAGTCAAAATCCCAATTTAGAAAAAAGAAAAATTTCCAGATTCAAGCAAATTAAAATTTTGAATAAATGTCGAAATTGTACGATGATTTTAAAATGTAAAATGTTTAACTGAAAATTTTTTTCAATGATATGTTTTTTTTTACTTTGTTTTAATATGCTTCCGTAAAACATTTCTCGTTTAAATCGAAATGGTAGAACTATGTCTAGTTATACGAAACAAATACAAATAACTCTTGTTTGTCTTATTCAATTACTCGATTTTTCAGTAAAGTTTGACATTAAAAGACTTCAACTCGAAATTAAAAAATCGAAAGTCGTAAATAAAAGTCGAAATTTTGATATTTATGATGTACAAAATCGTTATTTTGAGTTAATATAGTAAAAATTTCGGGATATAGAAAGTAGTTATTTTGAGTTTAAAAAAGTCAAAATTCAATTTAGAAAAAAAAATCCAGATTCAACATGTTCAAGCAAATTAAAATTTTCAATGATATTTTTTTTTACTTTGTTTTAATACGCTTCCGTAAAACAGTTCTCGTTTAAACCGAAATGGTAGAACTAAGTATAGTTATACGAAACAAATACAAATAACTCTTGTTTGTCTTTTTCAATTACTTGATTTTTCAGTTTTCTAAAGTACAGTCAATAAACGTATTTAGAACGTTACGATTTGTAAACATGCTTGTTAACATCTTAAGCTTTTTATGTTTTTTTTTATAAATCTTTGATTAATTAAATACAACCTAGTCAATGTGAAGCTAATATTTTTTACAAGGAGGTTCAAGTAATAAGAAACAACTACATTTCCTGCAGTAACCAGTAACAATAAGCATCGTTTTTCAGCACACAAAGACTAAGGAATGTACTTCATTCAGTATGTTATTCTTTTGTTTTAATTATTCAGTTAGAAATCGAAATATTAATCTTATGAATAACTGATATTTTGGTGTTTAAATCTCTATTTCATGAAATCACTTGACAATTGTTTGTTTGTTCCAATATTATATATATATAAAAATATAAAATTTAAAAAAACGGAGATTGTGCAGTTTTATTTAAATAACAGTTGGTATGATATTTCTTCAATCCTTTCAAAATCATAATTATTTCAATGATACATGAACTAAAGTTAATGTGCGTAAACTTGTTTAAAGAAATAAACTTGGGCTTACCTCTTCAAATAGCTTGAAAAAATTGTTTATCCTCAAACCATTTAAAGATGATAAATGACTGATGATTACAAAATAGAAGAAGGGCAAAGTTTGCTTTTACATTTTCTATATCAAAGGATCAAAGTGAAAGTAAAAGTAAATTTAAAAGTTATTACTGCTGGTGAAATACAGTGTATTAAGTTTTAAAACATGTATATGTACATCTGAAAAGCTCCTACTGAATTTGTTTTTTTTTTTAATTTGACAAAGTTTAACTCTACATAGACACACCGAAGTTTTGTTTTACGACGCCTATGAAACAGACTGAAATCTTAATATGATAGAGAATACGTAGTTGAAAGAAGAATATATTCATTGCAATAATCCAAAAATCTGTTGGAAATCATGCAACGGACAATATTTGACTCATATCAAATTTTCAGTATATAGACAAAAAATAAAAATAAAAAATGTATACAATGAAAAAATTATCTAACCTTTTTGGCCAGAGTTCAGAAAATCCAAAACACTGGTTTTCAATTTACATGATTTAGACTAAATAATTTTAATAGATATATTTGTCAACTCTCCGTCTTTCACTTTAATTTGTATAATACATCAATAGTTGCCATGCAAATCCACACAAACAAAATGTCACAATCGTTATAGTACACAATCGGTAAAACTACAGATCAAACTAATATTTTGGTATCTAAAGATCTAAGACCGTCAGCGCGAAAACATGTCGCTAGTGAGTTTCGAAATAATCATATGGTATCGGGTTTACAATGCGTGAATGTGACACTAAAACTTATGTAGTGTCGATTTCATTTGTTCTTCCTCCTAAGTCTGTTTGAGTAGTTTTTGTGTAAGGAAGACACCCCTATTAATTAAGTCTGTTTCATATTGACATGTTCGATCGTGAAGTATGAATTGAGATATGTTAATGCTATACGATTGGGTAGAGGGTATTTTACTGCAGGAAATCAGAAGCTGACAATTGGAAGGTAGAACTAATCATATTTGTCAGAGATTCTAGTCTGAAGTCGTCAATCTGTCAATATAGAGGAAAAGATCAAGATGAAAAGATACGAAGCAGATCCGATAGTTTCGGTAATATCTTTAATCTAAAGTGCATTAGAAATATGAAATGTAAGCATGAAATATGTGTTATTGAGTGACAGGACATCATCTAATTCAATATACTAGTGTCTAAAAGTTGAATTAAAGAATTGTCCAAGATATATTATATATCTTTGAGAAGGTTTTGTATTGATAATGCGTCATGAGTACAAACAACAATTCGGCCAGTAGGGATGCACACTTATTACTATTTGAAATAACGACAGTCTGTTGAAATATCAATCCACAAGCTCAACAAATGTATTATCGATCAAAAAGTCCAGCATTTTGATGATGTTATTTTCTGTTTTTGGCATTAGTGCAATTCTTCACAAAGTAAGATTTTCATGGCCTACAACAAGGAATATGTATCTACATATATGCAGAGGTGTAAAGAATAAAACACCTAAATTAAAAGTTTTGATTTTACTGCAAAATTGTTAAGATTGTGAATGTAGATTTTGCAATAAATCTTTAGGGTTTAAATAATTCACACCTGCTTCACACTGCTATATCAGTACACCTCATTACAATATTTTTGAAGGCCATAGTTTAAAAATAACAAAAATTGATATCCCATTTTTTTTATTTTTATTTTCTGAAAGCGATTAATAATGTCCATCAAAAAAGTATGTATTTCCGCATATAAGTTTTGTTATGGGTTTTCATTACATGTTAAATGAAAATAATTGTTAAGATATTGTTTACGTTCTTACTCTTAATTTTTAACTCAGAAAAACATATATGAAGAATCATAGCAACTGGGTATTTATTTATTGTCCATTTCATTTAACATATTGTGTACCTCGTGAGGTTAATAAAAAGTAACATAAAAAAAAAAAAACAAAAAAAAAACGAAATATTACTCATTAGAATATATATATACTCCGCTACTACTCTTTTTACAACTAACAGTGGAACAACTAGTACTACTACTACAACCCCGTTATTTTGTTGTGAAAAAGGAAAAAAGTTGACAAAAGTATCGAAACGCTATGTCTAAAGATTACTGAACTTACTAAATGTACAATTTTCCAAATGTCCTCTTGATTATTTACACGATAACAGAACCGAAAGTATGTTTCAATTTCCGCGTGATAAAGTTCTTTACGTAATATTAACTACCAACCAGTTATCAGTAAAACAGGTGCAATCTTGTGAATCCATATCAAATCACCCAAATGACAAAATTATTATTATGTTAAAGATTGTTTACATTTATAATATAGGAATAAATGGAGAAGTAGGATGTACATCAATGAGATAGGTATCAGTTAGTTTGTGTTTGAATACCAGTATCTAAATGACATATGTACTAAAGTAAAAAAACAGAATGATGAAAGATGTACATTAAAGTGTCTTTTTTTAGGATGACTTACCACACAGCTTTAATGGAACGATCATTAGCAAACTGGTTTTAAGAAACTGTTACAAGTCGTCCAAACAGTAGTCACTTGGGCTTTATTTATGGTCCTACTCGAGGTTATCAAGGACCGGTTGCAAATGTGATTATATTATCAGCTAGTATTAGAAAAAAAAGAAATTAGTTCCCATGTTTAGAATGGCATTTCTTAGAACAGATACTTTCGCTAATATAAAAATATTTGGTTAACTGGTTAATTCTATAAACAGGAATTCAAAATGAGGAGCCCCGCTTGGTTCACCGTCCTATTATCTGATAGCTCCAACCGTACTGAATAAAAATAAATATATGGTTACTAGATATTTTAATAAACTGAAGAGTACATTTTCAAAATCGGAAGTAAAAATTGCATTATGTAATTGGGTTAATATACCGTATTCAAACATATGAATGTTAGGTACTTTTGTCAACCGGAAGTGATTTTGCAAACCAGAAATGCCTTTTTGTTGTAGAAATTTGTACCAATTTGTAGCAAAATCTCAACATGTATGATTGATATGTACGTTCTGAAGGAAAACGATACTTCCAATTTGACAGAGATGACCTTAATCATTGAAATTTTCATAAAACAGGAGGATGAAAGCCTCCCATCTTTATACTAGATACCGAAGCTTCACAAAACTCCTTCTAAAGAACATAGTTGCGTCGTCACGAGGTTCGACTATACGTCTTTCTAAAGTTCTTACCACCATTCTTTCTATAGTTAAACTTTTGCTCTCAGAAATATTATGATGTGGTATATTCAACCAGCAGTGTCAATCAGACGTGTAGTCGTAAAACGTGAAATTCTTAAAATCTTCTCCAAATCTTCGATCCTATTCTTTACAATGTTGCCGAATTATCAAAACCTTTGATTTTTCTACGCTTTACACTACTATTTCTACCGCATAATCGATTGAACGATCGACTACATCATCTCATTAAACATAGTTTCTTCTACAAAAATTGGAAACGTAAATGCACATTTCTTGTTTAAGTCATTAAAAATCTTACTTTGTAAAGAACCCCTCTGATTCCAACAATATTTACACCAAAGATGATATCATCAAAATGCTGGCCTTTTTTTTTTTATCGACAACACATTTGTTGAGTTTGGTTAATTGATATTTCAGCTGACAATCGGTATTCCAATTGGTAATAAAAAATTGAAAACAACACGTTTAATAATTTCATGCGTCCGAAGCGCTTTTCTGGATTTACCTTCATCAGGAACGCTCAAAGCCAAACATTTGAAATCCGAGGGATGTATAAGTACCGAAACAATTGAAGAGCTATATGACAAAAATACCTAAAACAAATAGCCAAATTCATCTAAGGTCAACTTTGCCTGAGGGAGTTGAAACCTTAAAATAATTGTACACCACTACTGGCTTACTTGTTTTTGTATTCATATGAGGCACAATCCATACAGAACCTTCTCAAGGACACTAAAAAATATCTTGCAAAATTTCATTTTCAGATATATTGATGATGTTCTGTCACTCATTAACCCATATTTCAATGAGTGCATACATCTCATATATTCTAGCGTATATAAACTACTCCAACAGAGTTATGATGAAAAATGACTGAAATCGACACTTTATAATTTTCGATAGCATGATCACGAACTGGTTGACCAAAACAATGTGTCCGTGTCTCAACTCACTATCGACATGTTTAAGCGGGCTTAGATCTATATATGCCAGTATAGTCATCTGATCGATCAGTAATTTTAGCAATTGTGTCCTATTCCCGATTGTGACGTTATGACTAGGTGTGAATTCACATGTTTAAGAGGGACGAAAGATACAAGAGGGACAGTCAAACTCATAGATCGAAAACAAACTGACAACGCCATGGCCAAAAATAAAAAGACAAACAGACAATAATATTACAGATGACACAACATAGAAAACCAAAGACTAAGCAACACGAACCCCACCAAAAACTGGGGGTTATCTCAGGTGCTCCGGAAGGGTAAGCAGATCCTGCTCCACATGTGGCACCCGTCGTGTTGTTTATGTTATTACCAATCCGGTAAATAGTCTAATTCGGTAAGTCACATTCGTCAAAAGGGAGGGTATTGTAGTTACGACATAAGGAACATATCCGATATCATCTGTGAAACGGTTATTCCATAACGGTCAACCAACTCGTGATGGCGTCCGTAAAATTTACGAAGGGATGACTTCAACTTCACCATTTGGAACTCTTGGTTTAATAGCTTCCTTGTGAGCAGCAATCCTCTATCAAGGAAATCATGTTAATTGATGCATGCATAGCAGGATACCCTTACTTTGTCGACGTATCCGGTCTCGCTCCAATTGGAGTTCATGCGATTCACACAGTTTTTGTTTGTTTGTTACCTTGCTTTGTCTCCTCTCTATTTGCGTGATTTGAACATCGCTAAACTGATGTCACCCTAATTTACATAATCGATGTTAAAACTTAGGGCAAATTCAATTTGGAAAGTTCAAACATGGTATGGTGTCAGAAAGTCGTGATATAAGATTTAACGATGATATATGCTAGGCGTTTAACCCCACCACATTCTTTATGTACCTGTCCCAAGTCAGGAGCCTGTAGTTCAGTGGTTGTCGTTGGTTCATGGCTGTCATATTTTTCATGTCGGGGCTTTTTATAGCCGACTATACGGTATTGGTTTTTCTCATTGTTGAGGCCGTACGGTTGCCTATAATTGCTTACATCAACTTCATTTGAACTTTGGTCTCATTGGCAATCATACCGCATCTCATAATTGTTATAAAGGTAATACAGGCGCATGTAAACCTGATTAAAAATTAATATTGGTGGTTTGCAAGGGATAACACCTTTCCCTTATTTGTTTTTATGTCTATGAAAGATTGATATAAATCAAGCTACTCCGTAGTTTTGACAAAAACCAACTTTTTTTTTTTTAAATAACACGCTTACTTATATTTCTATATTTGAAGTTTCGTATTTTGCTGTGGTAACATCAATTTTTATGCGATTTATGATGTGTTTAGTGTCTTTTTAATATCTTCTGCCTCCTTCTAAAAATTTCTTGGTTCGTCTTTTGGCATATGTCATTATTGTATACATGTATCCCTTCTTAAAAGTATAGAGACTGCAAAGCTAGAGAAAACATTCTAAAAAAGATGAATTTAATACAAGACTTGAACATTTGAATAACATACAAAAAAGTCATGCATTATTAACAAGAGAGTAAATCTTAATAATAATAATAAAAATAATATCTTTATTTAGAGAGAGTAACTCATTTGGATTACACCAATTTTTCAATAAGGCTCTCTTAATACAATAATAATTACATTAAAAATTAAACAATACAAATTCAATAATAATTATAAATGAAGATGCAATACAATTTAAATTCAATGAACAATTATTATATGGCATTACAGTACAAATATCATGGTAATATTAAAAGTACATAGATTTGTAGTTATGTTTAAATTCTAATACTGTGTTTGATTTTTTAATTGTTTTAGGAAGAGCATTCCATACTTTTGGTCCACTGGAAACTAGACTTATACAACTCTGTATTTGGTTTTGGAATTATAAAATTATCTGAAAACGAGAATCTCGTATTGTATTTTCGGTTTGCAGAAGCTGATAAAATAAGACTTGACAAATATTCTGGAGCTAAGCCATTTTTTGCCTTATACATTAGTAATGATTTGTGATAATGTATTCTTTGTGTAATCGACACAATGTTATATTCGTGAAATAATTTGCTTGAAGTTTTGGTGTAATTATGTTCGTCTAAAATCATTCTTGCTGCCCTCTTTTGCAGTTTTATCTTCAGTTGTTGTACATATGGAAAAAAACCCGTTATTGAGACCCTGCCTTCAAATTCATAATATATTATAGATAAAGTATTAAATATACCTAATTACTAAAACCGTCAGTTAAGGTTACATTTTTGGCACAATACATACATATTCTTAAATATGCAACTTTACTGTACAATTAGACTTATCCAATATTCGTGAAATGTGTAGACCATACGGCTAATCTCAAATAACCGTATTCGTCAAAGTTCATTTTGATGTCTTCTTGCTGACCGCGACATATCAATATTTATTTCAGTGAAAACGAAAAAAATGATAAAATAGACCATAACAAATTAATATGATTTCTTTTATTTTAAAAATTAGATAGACAGCGCTCCAAATGAGAACTCGTCCTTATTTGCCTCAAACACTTTCCTATGATTGCAGCAGATCCCCTAACAAGACTGGTTGTTTCACATGTTACAGATAATCAGCATTGCTGAAGTAAAATTTCTGTCCCGTTATGTGAAAGTATCAGTGGACAATCAGTTCAAGTAATGAGAGATCAGAGATCAGATTACTATCGGCGACGGGGTGCTTTAAAACAAAACTTATAATGAATGAAGTTGCATATAATAATTATAGTTGAATTGAGCCAGCTCACTTGCTTTCTTGTTTTTAACATTTGCAAAATTTGAGATCATTGTTTTTCGATTTACAATAAAAAATAACAAACGAAAAATATCCATACATGTATGATCGCTTTTGGAAGCGAAATATTCCATAAAATGATTTTCAATGAGATAACTGATAACATATATTGTGATTTTTCCATAATCATATTCTTGCTGTACTTTGAATGTGAGTAGGGACAAGCCTAATTAAACATATAG